TTGGCGTTCCGGGCCTTCTCGTATCTCTGATTCCGAATATGAAGTCAGGAATCCTCTGGAAATCCCCGACAATTCCCGAGGGCCGTCGGTGATTGTGTATTGACTGTGATTGTGTTCGGGGAGGACACGGATGGGCGGGCATTACTGGAGGGGCGTTGCGCTGCGTCCTCTGCTTTCTTTGTTATTCCGGAGCGATTTTTTCGCTTCCGAAGCGACATTTGCGACTTGGGCATTAGCTTGGCAGGGGTCCTATTGCCATATTATCAAAATCTCAAAACTCCTAGCCTGGAGTGGACCGTGTCTTTAAGCCGTGATACCCAGGCAGGACACAGGTTGACGTTTTGCAGCTGCTACGTTGCCTATTTGGGCTTCGGAAGTCGCATTTTCGAGCTGACTTAGTTTGCTTTAGCTGGGGGCGAATTCAATCGTATTAATTAACATTTCAGGCCAGTTAACTGTCCGGACGCTGCCTAAATCTTCCCAGTCTTCAGAGAAGAGAAAATGCTGACATTGACATGATGTAACCTATAACCAATCCTTTACCGCTGAACTAGATTTCGCTGGAATTAGCGAGGGATTTGTACCTCATAGTGCATGTGGCTTGGCACCTGAGCAAGATGTCAAGCAAAAAAATTGCTTTTCAGTACAAAATAAAGCTGGAGAGACTTTCTTTTTTGAGAGGAAAATTTTGACGCTTTCAGCCTTCATTTTACCTATTCATTTGATTTCAAACTAAGAAAGCCTAAATTCCGTCTACACAGGCTTTATGAAATACTAGCTGGCAAACCCGACTTCGCCAACCCTGTTAATAATATAGTCGTAATCAGCATGCTCACTAACTCTCCTGTGCCATCTCCCAGCTCCGTAGCTCAAATTTTCAAAAAGCTGATAATATTGATATCGTTCAGTAACAAGTAGCCTACAACGCCCGCCTCCCGAAGTGATGTGTGCAAAGTTTGGTTTAAAGCGGTTCAGAAATGGCGGTTTAGAAATGAAATTCTTATTTGGAACGTATAACAGACAGATAGACAGATAGACGTACGTACATACAGACAAACAGGCGACTTGTTACTGGCGAAGTTGAATCACTCGTATGCAGTCAGCTCCGGAAGCGAGGACTGTAGAGGTCCTGCGTAAACTTTTTGTCACTCTAAATTTCAAAAATTCAAATCTATATAGAAATTCTTTGAGTTGATCCAATGTTATGAAGCAATTTGGGGTGCTTCCCTGCTTGACTGGCAACAGAGCTATAGGCTGCTGCCTGACGAAGGTGCAATACTTTGGGCACGAACGCCGCATAGCGCATGAGGCGCAGGACTCGCAACGGTGAATATACGCGCGCGCCGCGTTCGCGCCCGCTCAAACAGTACCGCTTCTGCGCCTTCGTCATGCAGTAGCCTTTACATTATATTTATTTCAGCCCACTCGTTGTCTTTTTCACAGTAAGGTTTTTGAATTTGTCGCTGTAGCCGAAATGGCGGAGAGGTATGTAGTGGCGGATAAAGAATTCTTCGGAATGCGTGGCTAACGCCACGAACCTTATTCAGAAATTTTTCTGTCCCCATCCCTTCTCACCCCCTTCCCCCGGAAAGAAATTTTGGAGCCTCCACTAAAATGTCTTTTCACTTTCTAGTTTTGTGATCCCGATGCAGTTCTGCCAGATAGAGTTGTTAGACATTCTTGGAGCATAAAAATATGCTTTCAAACTCAGACTATGTTAAAGGCATTGTCGATCCGAACTGCCGCCCAAGCCCCGCTGCAAGAGAGGGTACCGAAGCGAGAAGGCAGCTTTAGAGATAGTCCCCAGGTGGCTTTTCCCATCAAGGTAATCTGTAGGATATAAGTCCGAACTTGGGCCAAGGTACATGGAAATGCCTCCACCCATCAAGGCCCCCCGCAGACCAGCTCAGAACATTTAGATTCTTTCGTGACTTCATCTTGATCGTGACTAACTCTCCTGTTCTTTTGACGCGTCTTTATAAGACTCTTGTTCGTCCACACCTGGAATATTGTTCTCAAGTGTGGAACCCTACTATAAGAAAGGACATTTGTAAGCTTGAAAAGGTACAAAAAACCTTTACACATCTCTTGTTGTCCCACCTGCTTATAGTATACGGTTAAAAAAGCTTACTCTCCAGAGTCTTTCTTATCGCCGTAATATTTCTGATCTTGTTTTCTGTTTCCAAGTGCTCAGAGAAAGAGATCAGACTAAAAGCTAGTAAGTACTGGATATTTATGCCAGCTGGTCAAAGGTTGGGAGGTTTCAGCTTACATTATGCCAAGATCATGAAACACAATAGGGAGAAAATGTACAACAACATATTTTATAGATCTGCTCGTTGGTTTCAGCTTCTACGTAAGGACATAGTTGTTTCATCCAATGTGCGATCTTTTATGGATAAATTAACCAGAGTTGACAGTCATGTTCTACCTTTTTAATTGAAGTTTTCATCATTCTAGTGTGCTTTTCAGTTTCGTTCTTGCCTTGTTCTAATGGTCGTGGCTACGTTTTTCTGCTATTGTGGACTCGCTCGATCCTTTGGCTTTTTAGTATCGGATGGATATAGCAGTTTCTCTCACTAGTGATAGATTATGGCAGTGTTTTGTTATTGTGTTGCGTTTCTTTTGTTTACAAACCGCTTATTTATGGAGGGGTCACTTCGTCCTACTCTATATTGATTTTTTGGATTGAGAATCTTTTTTATCAAGGACATTTCTACTTAAAATTTGTCAGGTGTGTTCAAGGCTTGGGGAGTTAGGTTGGTGGATACCTAGCTAAACCAGTACCCTCGCTTGAACCGCTCCGATTATCCTTGAGCGATAGCAGTCCCCACTGCTATTCACCTGGCATTCCAATTCATAGTCGTATAATTCACTCGCATTTGAATGCATCTTTTTTCGTTGTTGTGGGTATATTATCCCGTACTTTCTTCTGCTTAACTCATCGAAGTACGAGCTTTCTTTGTTGTTCTTTGAATGTCTAGGACGACTGGCCCCACGCTAACAGTTTTTCATACTTTAATTGGTACAATTTAAGTGTAAAGATAAAGATAAAGATAAAGATCTTTGTCGCTTTTAACATCTAAACTGTGTACCAGCATCACACAACATCCGAATCTTCTTGTCGTCTTCTGCTTCCTCCTTGAAGGATCGCAGGATTGTACAAAGTCCAAATTTTTTTTGAAAGCTACTGCAAAGTGGGAGACGGCACATCTTTACGTGCAAGAGACTACAGCTTGAGCAACTTCAAACAATACTTTCCATTCAATGAAATCATAACTGCTAGAGCAATTTAGATGGACGAGTGGCGTAGTTGAGGAAGTGTTATGACTCGGTTTGGTAAAGTTTGAATCCCGCACATGGACCAGTTGAGCACTTTATCTCTGAGAACCGTAAAATGGTATCAGAGTAATCTAAGAAAGAAAAGCACTGACTTGGTAACCGCCTGACCCTTGCAAATCACTTCAATGGTTTACACGCATCCAGGAGCCTGTGTACAAGACATTAAGAACGTCTACTCTCCGTCTTTCATAAGGAAGTAGCTGTGATTGCTTATCTGTTAGAAATAATGTGTGCTCGCATGTGGTTCAAAATTGCTAATCGAATTACTGCTCAAACCTGCATCATGTGCTAATCAAACTCTATAGTCGAGTCATTTTATATTAGGGTGATCGGTAAAAAATGGGGCAGCTAGAGAATAAATGTAGATTTCTCTAAAAAGAAAAATGATTAAACTTCCCAGTTTTGATAGATGTTAGAACAAATTGTTCTCTTTCAGAAAATACCTATATATGGTCATTCACATACCTGATAATTTTTATATTGCCTGAAATGCAAAGTTAGTCACTTCGACAAATTGTAAACTTCGGGCAGTATCTGCGCAGTGGAACATGCGGAACCATCCAAAGTACTACTGCTGCAATGCGTGAAAGTACAGTCACCAGATCCACGATGGGCTGCTGGTCTAAACTTTCAAATTCAGGAGATATGGCCATAGTCTTGAGAACAAAGATACGTGCTATTCAATGCTTTACAGGTAAACGCATGTTTTATAGGTACCATCTGAAGGAGCGTTTTACGCTCTATCCATCCATATGCAGCTTATCTCACATTTTATCTATCTTCGGAAAATACAGATTGAAACTTGATTTATTCGTTTTTGTTGCGCCAAAATATCGCGAGTTTTCAGGTATTTCTCTTTTTTACCCCAGAAAAAGAAAGAAATCTTGTGTTTAATATACTGTTTGAAAGAGCATGAAGAGCTCTTTCGAGTGGTCTATCAATTGCTCTATAACTTTACGGTATGGCAGCGCAAGAATGAGCGATGTTCAAAAAAACCCTGTTCGAGTTCTTCAGGGCGCCACGCGTAGGGTTGTGGGAAAGGAGCGTTGACGCTTTACCAGAATAACAGGCGAAGGTCGCTTATATAAGCGAAGTTTACGCTGCAGCCTGCTTGTTGTTGATCGAAACAAAAAACCTCAAAATTCAATAAAAATCAAGCTGCCCCTTTTTTACCGATTACCCTAATAAGATCATGTGTGTCATTGCACACACTCTCCACATTTGGCTTCCGTATCTTGGATTCTAACAGCAGGCCTCCTTCAGAGGTTTTCGGTGTTTCCCTCCAATTTTCTTTCTTCCTGTACTAATGTCCACAGAGATGATGTAAGTGATAAGGTTCGCCACTTTCTTGCGTTTTTATGATTGCACTCAGAACGGGGACCTCGAAGGTGGACGTTGTGTGTAATACTCACATGACTGTATTAGATGACTCGATGTATATTGTTCGTCAATCAACCTTTCTTGTTTTTTTTTCAAACGGGAATTGCTACGTTAAGATGGTTTGGATTCGCAATCAGTCAGAACAAAAGACAGAATAGCAGCATCGGTATAATTTACCACGCCTACAATCTAGTCATCTCGTATGATCATATTTATATCCACACTATAAACTTTATGATACGCCTCTTTGGAAAATCAATGCCTTACTGTATAAACATTGTTACATTTCATTTCTATACATATCACAGTTGAAACAGATTGCGATAAAGCGTAAAAACCTCAACAAATACTGAAAGGATGTTAATTTTACTGCGACAGATGTTAACATACAAAATGCTCACAATCAAAACCCGAAGAGGCTCACAAGTGATTTCAAAAGGCTTTCCTAGACGGACAATTTGAAGGCTGGGTAACAATTTGGCACATATAGTATAAGAATGTGAAAGAGATATGTGTTGACAAAGTAGAGTGTCTGGAGTGTTATTATTACAGTGAAAGTATTATTTTACTTGAATCGGTTTAAACTATCTGAGGACTGGATGAGTTTTAGTTTTCAATTGTAGGTAGGAGTTCGTAAAACATACCCAAGTTGAGAGTAGATTAGGAAGTAATATAAAGTTTACTGCACAATCATAAGCAACTTCTGAACGAAGGCGAATGCCCAAATAAGGTGAGTGTGCGCGAACGCGGCGCGCGAGCGGTTATCGTCCTCGAGCCTCTTTACCAAGGGCTCCGGCAAGTAAGCCATCCCATTGCCGCGTTCGCGCCCGCTTCGCGACGATAAACGATCCACCTTGTGCGGGAATAGCCTTTGGAATTTTTTGTGCTGTGCAGCAAAATTCAAAACATGACCAAGGCAATATTTCTTAAGTCAGTGCATTGACCACAAACTTATCTCCAATGCAAAATTAATGTAAAGAGAAATTTTTACAGATTATTTCTTTTGACGAATAGAGTCAGATCGTAAGATCACTTATTTTCGTAGATTTTGCTGTCTTCCTACAGTCCCCGCGTTCCTAAGCACACCGTTACGGCTGCGATTACCGTGTCGACAGCGGCCAGTACAAGAGCGCAGATCGACAGCCAGAATGAGTAGCCGTACTGGTCTTTGCTCTTATCTTCGAGCTTCTCTGGAAACAAAGTTTGTCTGATAGCAAACTTCATACGGCCAAATGACTTAAGTATGCGAAAAAGTATTCTAAACTTACGCATACTATCTTTGTTGTTCACTCCATAGACGATCACCGCAATCAAAAGCATAATGGTGGCAATGAGCGAAAGAATAGCCAACGGATGTATCAGATACTTTTTGCAGCAACATGCACAGCTGAAATAAGGAGAAAATTAAGGGGTAGATATTGTAACCTACGCTAGCAGTAACAGTCGTTCTACAAGTAATGGTAAACAAAAAATCGATTACAACTTTTTGGGGTGCTCCATTTTCACAAGTTCGTTTCCTAATGGCTGATTCCAATTATGCTGGGAGAACATCGCTTGCTCGAGAGCATCTCAGGACTCTCTTGTGGACGCTGATTGTAAAGATGAGGAAGAAAGAGAAGCATTTATTATGTTGAATCAATATCGCCAAAGTATGAAATGTTGCAAGGAATCTGAATCTAACAGCAATTTAGATTTTGTAAACTAATTATTCCAACTAAGCAAAGTTTGTGCAGGTCAAATCAAAGCAAAGTTTGTGCAGGTCGCCAATTATTAGGTTGTAACAGAATTAATGCAGGTTTTGAATTCTAACCGCAATAAGTCATACACTTCTCATTTCTAAGTAGGTTGCAAAATACCATTCGATAGAGCAAAGCAATCTCTACAAGATGGCAATCTTGCTTTAGCAACAGCTCTGATCCACCACGAGTTTCGAGCCAAAAACTAAAAAGATTCAACTGTCCGAAAAATTGCGAAAAATCGTAACTCAGTTCATAAAACACCTATAAAAATTCTAACTTGCTCACGTAAACACTATTCACATAAGACATCTAAACACGCCTTTGCCGTATTTTTTCCTCTGTTAGAAATCAAGAAAACGGAAATTTTTGTGCGTTTGCCAAAGTGATGCTGTGCCGTTCCCACATAAGTAGTTGTATACTACAAACCTGTAGAAGTATAAATGTGGGTTTCCAGCTCTCTACAAGCTCTAGTTCTCGGAAAATATCGAATACAGTTTTCGCTAGTCATGTGGTCCAAGCTAAAATTCAAATTTCTCGAGAACCAAAGCCTGTAGAGAGCTGAAAATTTACGTTTGTACTTCTACAGCTTTGTAGTATACAACTACTTGTGTGGGAACAACACAGCATCACTTTGGCAAACGCACGAAAATTTCCGTTTTCTTGATTTCTAACAGAGAAAAAAATACGGCAAAGGAGTGTTTAGATGTCTTATGTGAATAGTGTTTACGTGAGCAAGTTAGAATTTTTATAGGTTTTTTATGAACTGAGTTACGATTTTTCTCAATTTTTCGGACAGTTGAATCTTTTTAGTTTTTGGCTCGAAACTCGTGGTGGATCAGAGCTGTTGCTAAAGCAAGATTGCCACCTTGTAGAGACTGCTTTGCTTTATCGAATGGTATTTTGCAACCTACTTAGAAATGAGAAGTGTATGACTTATTGCGGTTGGAATTCAAAACCTGCATTAATTCTGTTACAACCTAATAAAATTACGAGTAGAAAAATAACTAGCACAAATTTTTCAGTCGGAAAGAGTAGGTCACAATTTTTAGACATTGATGATTTGACTTTATTGCAACCTTCAAGATTTCTTTGGCAGTCATTTCAATAAGATTGACGAAAGCGATTTTTTGTATCCATTTTCGCAATGTATAAGTAAGAACGAGATTGCCCTAGGACTTGAATAATTATAGATACCATTTTTGTATGGTCTGCTAAGAAAAAGCTTCAGTTTTATCGTCGATTCATGACACGCAAAGACTGGGCGCCGTTGCGTCCGACCGAGATAGTTTGTGCATAGGAGAAACAGCGGATGGTAAAAGAAACGAAACAGCGCTCGATCATGGAGACGCTGATAGGTCCGCAGTCTTTGCGTGCTATGAATCGCCTTTATGTTTCAGGTGGAGTTTGGAGACAGAATGTAAAAGAGCGCCAGATGAGTGAGCTGAGCTTATTTGCGGGTTGCCTGCCCCCCCTCCCCCTCCCCTTCCCTCCCGCCCCGCCGCTGCTGAAAGCGCTCTCTCCTTTGACTACAACGACGTCAATGCGTCAAGGAAGTCAAGTATACATTAGGCGTTTGTCATGTTTTTTGCCGTTTTTTTGCCTAAAAGTCCTCTAGTTTTGTTTACATAATCTCAGTTTTTAACGAATTTCTGGAAGAAAATCTATATTGAAATTATCTTGCTTTGCTAATATTAATATCATTTTTTGAACCAAGTGCTGTGAACTTACAATACGAACAAATTCCAAGCCAGAGCAATTAATTCGAACAACAATGCCAAGCACATGAATATCGCTACAGTTTTCATATAGCCCTCATGGTCCTATACAGATATTCAAATAACGGAGAGATTGATCACTGGATTTCCTCACTTACCGTTATGTCCTCACAGTTCTTGATGTCTTTTATACAATCCCATCTGAGCATCTCTGGGAGATTTTGATAGATAAGGGATTATTGGAAATTCAAGAAAAAACTTACTTCCACTGAATGTCGGGACAGCTGTGAGTATTAAACAACCAACCATCACAACTCCAAAGACAATTTGACCACATGCTGAGAAGATGCACATTTTCTGAAAATGTTTCATTTTAAGTAACAAAATGACATTTTTGACACCACGTAAAGGGCGAATTTTGGCAATGGCCTTAAATTGACAGGAAATCAAGGGACATGAAAATCAATTCATATTTTTTGGAGCATCACACGAAGTCTCGAAAGAGAACATAAATAACGCGATCTTATCACGAACACGTATCGACGAAAGCACAAAACTTTGATTTTCTATTTCTGGTTAAAAAAATGTTAGATAAGAAGAGCAGCCGGATCCGAACGCCAATTTTCAATTCAACACAAAACAAATGCAGCTAAGCAACGCGAATGAAGCCACTAATGACGTCATGAGAAGTTCCCGTATTCCTATTCAGCTTCAGCATTCTCTTGGCAACGGACCATTTTTGGTTTCACAACGTCGTACCCGTGACGCAGATCTATTCTTTGCCATAGAGATCCAATTTCACGGACCACAAATACCTCATGAAAACCGAAGTGTAACCGGGGGTGGTCTAGTGGTATAACGGTTTCAACCGGATCGATAGACTACACGAATTGAAAGACTAATAATTTATCTCAGACAAACGGCAACGAACAGCAAGAAACGAGAATGCGTAACTTGAACAAGGCTTAACAGCGAAACGACGGGCTTTACCCTCTTTGACCACTTCGGCAGGCTTACTGGTTACTCTCTTTCTGAGTGGGAGATCCGCCTCTCTTCGACGGAGTTAGCTCCCGCTAGCGCTTCCTCAGCGCGGACTGAGGCCTTCCCCTGACTCCCGGTATTTATATCGGGACAACGCGGGCTTTTCTTCCCGCCACTGAGGATCGGTAGGTCGGTGATCCGTGCCCTCTGACATCCCTCCCCTCCGGAGAGCCGACGTCCTCGGCGGCTGCTGTAATTTGCTGAGCTTTGCACCGGGAACTCTCCTGCGGATGTCGTTGTAGTGGTATCGCGCATATCCTCCTTGAAGTACGCGCCGTATACCTGAAAGAATTTTGGGGTCCATCTGCTCCCATGGTCGCTTTCCTTTTTTCTGCCCTTGAGGGAGCCAACGTGAACAACCGATTTGGGTTTGCCCAATTTTTCAGTACTGATTTAATCACCGTCCACACTTTTGACTTCGTTTTCCACATATCAATCTTCTTGAGCAATGGTGGCGGCCACACGGATACAATCTTTCCTCCTTCTTCGAGGTACTTTTTGCATATCCGCAATGTCTCAGTGATAGCCTCATCTTCCATTCTTGGGTTCATGGGCCATACTGTGATCCACATACGACAGCTCTTCAAGTATTTCAACGCTTCTTTGAGTTGACTGAATGATACTGCCACCTTGGTCAGTACTCCCCACTTCTTCAACCCAACTTCCTTAATTGCTCCTGCACATCTCGGTGCAATAAACGCAACGAAGTTCCATCTCAGAAGTGTGTCCTTCTTCACTACTTACCTTTCTAACTTTGACTCCTTCCTGTGCCTCTCCGCGCATTTTCCGACCACTTCTGAAAGGAGCGTGCTTTTTGCTGCGCTTCCTGCATGTCGACTTCTTCCACTTGGGCTCACAAGCTTCCCCTGGCCAGATTCCTTTGTCTGCTTTGACATCTTTTTTTCTCTCAATTTCTTGTTGACAGTTACAGACCTGTTCTTCTCTGGGATAGATCCGTTCACAGTTATGGTACCTTGTTGGATCTTCGCTCTCACTGAGGCGGTGTTTCTCTTCTGTAGAGGCACCATCCTATCCTTTGCTTTTACTTTGACTTCAGGCTTCTTGTGTATTACTACTTCCACCCCTAAACTCTTCAACGCATTTATGCCAATGAGTACTTCCTCATTCCTATCGTTTGAAATATGGAAGGCAACTTCCTGCTTGCATCCTCCTTCTAGTTCCACTTCTATTTTTATACCTCCGAAAAAACTCATCACATGGTTTGATGCATCGTAAATGCTTCCTTCCACTATCGAAAGTTTGAAGTGACTTGACATCGTACCCATTGTTCCTCGCTTCTATAAGCACGTTCACGGGTAGTATACTTATCTCTGAGCCCGTGTCTGGAAATGTCGAAACCCTTCTTCCCAACATTCTCGCTTGAGTCAATGTGATCCTGCCAAGAAGTCCGTATGCGCCGGATTAAGAGCTCTTTACGATCATGTGCCGGCTTCTACTTATCATTGATGTCACTCCATTCGAAGTCTTAATGACGCCTTCCTTCTTCGTTTTCCTGTGCTTACAATCTCTCATCGCATGTCCGAAATGACCACATTTGAAGCATCTTTTTTCTTCCTGATCCTCATCATAGGCACTCGAGCTACTCGTTGGCTCCTGCCTCCTCATAACACTATCTTTTTTTTCGCCTCTCTCCGCCAAGCTGCGTCGCCTTTGTGTCCTAGCTGGCACATATCCTTCATTTCTAGTTGCTTTTCTCCAGGAGGGAGTTTGCTGTTCACTCCTTTTCTCGAAGTTGCAGAACTTCCGCGTGTTCGATTTCAGTCGCGACTTCTTTTATCCTGTTATATGCCTCACTGGGTCCACTTGGTGTAGGGTTCCCACCAGGCTGCACGTATTCCGGCCATGACGTCAGATTCTCCAGCAGAACTTGTGCGTACTCTATCGATCTATCCTCAATACTAGCTTGAGGACTGGCCTTCCTCGCTAGGTTCTCGAGGGCGACACAGAAGTCCGCGACCTCTTGGCCTGGCCTTAAACGCATGTTCCTTGAGGCCATTAGCGCCTTCAACCTAGCTGCTGTGGAGTCACAAGCCAGTAGTGAGGACATCTCCCTCACTACTCTGTCGAAGCCTTGCTGTCTTGCCCCCATGGGTATACTCGAAATAAGGACTTTGCCCGTCTTCCAAATGCTCGTCACCTAGAACCTCTATCAGCAACTGTTCATCTTGGAAAGTGGTACCATACTTTTGAACTTCCGAACGAATCTGTCAAAGTCTTCATCCTCATAGCCCTTAAAGACTCCAGGATCAGCAAAAGTCGTGCCCTGAAAATATTGAGCAACTTATCTCCCACACCTCGATGACTGTTGAGTGGTCCGTCATTCGACCCTCTCACCACACTGCCTTCCCTCACTGCAACTACCGTTGCTCTGGGACCGTGTATCTGGTCTCCAGCCTACCCAACACTGTCTACCTCAGCCTCCAACTCTTCTTGAAGTGGCAATCCATCAACCGGTATCCCACATCGGCTAAAAAACTAGCATTTCCACTTCTTTTCTGATGAGGCTAATCTCCTCGATCATCAAGTGTGCCTTTCTCTCATGGATGTCATCTGCACATCTTTGCTTCTGATCCATATGCATGAACATGATTGTACTCGGCAGCGAAATGCTTCGTCTTGCCTTACATTCGTCGGTAATCAACGCCGCACGCAAAATCGCTCGATAATGGGATTATGAAGCCGCCCCGTGTGTCTTTCAATCGGGTATGCTCGGCCCCCATGTAACGGAGGGTGGTCTAGTGGTATAACGGTTTCAACCGGATCGATAGATTGCACGGATTGAACGACTAATAATTTATCTCATAAGGGAACCGTGTCGAGTCGAAGTGGCCTTTCCAGATGAGACCCATACTGCTTTGAAGAGTATTAAGCGGTGATTCCAAATCTGCCTTCCAAATCTGCCAAGCGCCTCTGGACGCCGAGTTATGACCGTTCTTCGGAAAGAAAAATGAATGCAGAATTTAGGTAAAATTGGTTGTTGCAATCTTTCCAGCGCTCAGATAAAGCAATGTTAAGTATTAGCATAATAAATAAAATGTATTTATCGCATAAACAGCTCTGATACTTGACATTGGACCATTTGAGCAGGTTTGGGCGATTTTGCTTCAGTTTTGCGTTCAATTTTTTAACCTGAAAAACAAGCATGACTCGGTGTCCAATCTTGGCAGATTTGGAGAGCAGATTTGGAATCACCGGTTAATGCTCTTCAAAGCAGTATGGGTCCCATCTGGAAAGGCCACTTCGACTCGACACGGCAGACAAACGGCAACGAACAACAAGAAACAAGAATGCGTAACTTGAACAAGGCTTAACAGCGAAACGACGGGCTTTACCCTCTTTGACCACTTCGGCAGGCTTACGGTTTACTCTCTATCTAAGTGGGAGATCCGCCTCTCTTCGACGGAGTTAGCTCCCGCTAGCGCTTCCTCAGCGCGGACTGAGGCCTCTCCCTGACTTCCGATATTTATATCCTGTGAAGGGGTCAACGCAGGCTTTTCTTCCCACCACTGAAGATCGGTAGGTCGGTGATCCGTGCCCTCTGACAGAAGAAGTATGATCGAATTTTGGGTGTGACTGACATTATTATTTTTTTACTCAAGAAAAAAATCATAAATTTTCTTATGAGATTTCTCTATCACTTTTCTCTATCATGTTGTACCCTTTGTTTAAACTGGATTGTCTGCTGCAAGGCGGGGCTTCGTGACCTAGTCAAGGCTAGAGAATGATTAGAGAGCACGAGCGCGAGAGAGACGCCGACTGCGTCGCAGGCGCGATCAGCCTTAATTAGGTCACAAAGCCCCGCCTTCCAGCCGCCAACCCAGTTGAATCAATGGTTAGCTTTTCAATGTATACATGCTACACATCCTCGTAAACGCAATCTGGAAATGTGCCACAAATGGTTCGAAAAAATTTCAAAATTCAAAAACTACTCTCAAACTCCAAAACTGTCTTCCTATTAATGCTGACTTTGAAAAGTGATGGAAAAGAAGATTAAGGAGAATGAACTGAAAGAAAAGAAGAAAATCAAACTCGAAGTGCCGTTACAAAACTGCCCTCGTATTTACTGTACATGTCCTTGAAAGTAAAAATGAACTAAGTGAAGAGCCTTTGTCTTTTTCTCATTGAACCAAAAATGGGACTTTCCCGAGATTTCTTGAGTTTTCCAAAGGAACACGAAGAAAAAAGAACAAAATTGATGTAAAGGAATAGCGGCATAGCGTAAACCAGTTTTCTCGAAATGTTAAGCATCAGTCATTACAATAAAGGAGTTTTACTTCCTGTCATTCTACAAAAACAAGCAT